ACCTTCAGGTACAGGTCATGCCACTTTTTGTGCGTGGTGCTGGTCTGTTTCCTGCCTCAGAGGGCCAAACCCCAGAAGCAGCAAACCCACTCCTCATCTCCCATAGCTCTGTGTGTCTTCTGTTTGGAAGCCATCTACCATCAACAGAGAAGAAAAGCACAAATTACACCAAATGGACCAGCCAGAACTTCTAACTAATATGTATACTAATATACTAATATGTATTATATCGGTGTCGTTATTATTCATAGGTGCATGAGCTAAAAAAAGAAAAAAAAGCACACATTTCATTTATATCCTATACTAATATGACAGCATTAAAAAGTTACAGTAGAAAAATACTGTTAAAGTAACTGCAGCTCATGCCTTCTCATGACTGTAAATAAAAAAAAAAAACACTTATGTTGCTGTAAACTTAACTGTATTTTTTAAAATCATGTGAAGGCACCACCGTACACATGAAGTAGTTAAATAACATAACGAAAGATGAATGACTGACAATCTTCGCGACGATATTCATACACAAGCAGTGACCATATTAATGCTGGCGGTAGTATGCAGCCCCATAACATATGAATCATAAAACCGCTGTTGTGCCGCTCAGCGCCGCTGCCATGAAAGGACTGTAAGATTATTACTGGGACAGTACNGCCAGTCCTGGTGCGTGTGGCGATTTCAGTGAGTTTTCATGCATGTTAAGGCCCTAAAAATGGCGTTTCAAAAGTTGGTAAAATAATAATAATAATAATAATAATTAAAGCCGCAAGCGGCATTGGTCGGGTCCTCGCTTCTCGCTGGAGTGCGACTGAGCCAGTCGGTGTGCACATGTCTTTAAAGCGCTGAGGCTGTGAGTTGGAGCACGCGTGTAAAGTTTCAGGCCGATCGGAGCACGTACAGGCTAGTTACACAGCACGTCCCATTGTGTGGCGTTTTATGGCTTATTGGCGATATTGTACGAGCCGCCATTTCTAAACTGTCAGACTTTTGCGTAGCGTTTTGATTGCTTTTAATCACCACGTCATTTTGTTTGTGCTGGCCAAATTTCATGTGTGTACAACTTACCCCCTAGGAGGAGATAGATTTTGAAAATGGCCAAAAAGGGGCAAAAATGAGCAAAAATCGCAAAATTCTGACCATGGTTTTTTCAAAATGGCCGACTTCCTGTTGGGTTTAGGGCTTGGGGCCAATTGACTTTTTTGTGCGTCCCCACCTGCTTCACGTGTCCACCGAATCTTGTAGGTGTAGATGTAACGGCCTTCCGACGGCACTCCGTTGACTGGCAAAAACACCAAAAAAATGGACAAAATGGCCATTGATCAATTTTGGACGGGCCGCCATTTCTAAACCGGGCGACTTTTGCGGAGCGTTTTGATAACTTTTAATCATCACGTCGTGTGCTTTGTGCTGGCCAAATTTCAGGTGTCTACGACTTACCCTGTAGAGGAGGCAAATTTTGAAAATCGGCCATTTTTTTCAAAATGGCCGACTTCCTGTTGCGTTTCGGGTATGTGTTCTTGAGGCTTTTTTGTACGTCTCGAGTTGTTACATGTGTGTACCGAATTTCGTGGCTCTACGAGAAAGTGTGTTCGGGGGCCCATTTTTTGTAACTTTGTAGGGGGCGCTATTGAGCCATTTTGCTATTGAGGTGAGTATTTTCCCCTAATTATAAAATTTTTCGCCGGGTCTGGTGTGTGTGGCGAGTTTGGTGAGTGTGTGAGTACGCTGTGGACCTCAAAAACGCGTTTCTTTCGATGGAATAATAATAAAAAGTCGAGCAGTTCCAATAGGGTCTTCGCACCCTCTTTGGGTGCTCGGACCCTAATAATGACAATAAGTAGTGCAAATGCAAATCTATACTTACATACATGATGAGAGGATCTACTGGGAGCACAGCTGGTTGTAGAGTCTCTCAGCAGAGGGGAGGAAGGACCTGCAGTACCTCTCTTTGGAACAGCGTGGATGAAGAAGCCTGGCACTGATTGAACTTTCCAGGGCTTTTACAGTCCCATGTAGAGGGTGGGAGGTATTGTCCAAGTACGATGACAGCTTTGTCATCATCCTCCTGTCACCTACCACTTTCACAGGATCGAGACTGCAGCCCAGGAAGGAGCTGGCCTTCTTCACCAGCTTGTTGAGACTCTTTCTCTCGGCTGCCGTGATGCTGCTGCTCCAGCAGACCACACCATAAAAAATGGCTGACGCCACCACGGAGTAATACAAAGTCCTTAGGAGGCCTTCCTGCGGTCAAGCTGGTTAACAATAGTCTTTCTAGGGGGGGGGAAGGGGCGAAAAGAAGGAGAAGAAGGGGGAGAGAGAAAAAGGAGGAGAAAAAGGAAAAAAATGAGAAGAAGAGGAGAGCTGAAGGGTTCTTTCAACCTTGCAACCTTTCTGATCCACTCGAATGCAATTTCTTCCCTAAATTTCAATAATTTAGGCAAAATGTGAAACTTTACTGGGTGACGGTGGGGGAAGCTCTGACTACAAAGGTCGCCAGTTCGATCCCAACTGGTAACGTATATATTCTATCAGAAATTTTAACCAGCTGTTGTTAAACTTTAAGACACAACTATCTTTGCCACAAAAATATGAGTGGCCTATTGTAAATGTATTGCTGACTGGTCAGACCCACACAAAACCAGCTTTTACTTGTGTGTTATTGACCAAACTGTATCAGGACTTCTTGTTTTTTAAGCTTATCTATTTATGTTGATATTCTTACAAATAACAAGGCCAATTTGATCAATTATGAAATGGTTTTGAATACATGTTCTTCATGTCATTTTAGCTTGACTGTGGTCTGTGTCTATTTGACCATTCTTATACAGATATTTCTGTGAAAAACAATCCAAAAGCACTGCTGCAGAAATAAAGGCCAGATTTATTGCAAAAAATACAGATTATTTTGGTATCACACAAAGAAATACAGTTACTTATGTACAACAGGGTTACAAGCTATTTAACACAGCTATGTACAACAATATGATATAAAACCATTAGAACATCTTTGAAAAGCTGTCTTCAGCAACAAGGTCTACAGAGAAATACTAAAACCAACATGCAATGCTGAAACAACATTTTTGCAGCCCTGTTTCAAACTATTTAAAATTTTAGGTAAGGACACAGAATCCATTACTGGTTGGCCCTCTTCTGGCGCATCTCTTCCTTCCACTGATCAAGTGGCAAACCAGCATTCTGTGAGCAGTATATGTGACCATAATGCTGGCTGTGCCCACTTTCTTTGGTGGGGGCTGGTGGAACTGACCATTTGTTTTTTTCCACAGTCCGGTTGTAAACCCTGCGAGTAGGTGGAGGAGAAGGAACAGGGCCTGTAGGAGTAATAGGAAAAGGGCCAGCAGGTGCAGTCACTATTGGTGCAGGGACTTGTGGGACTGCAAAAAAAAAACAAAAACAAAAAAAAAACTTAATGTTAAGTGTTTCCTTAAAAAAAAATTTCTCAAAATATTCTTTACATCACAAGTACCTGTAACATCCTAAATATTTACCAATGCCAAAGTCAAAGAAGGCTTCCGAGCAGTCTGCCCAGACGATGCTGCTGATGGGCCTGGTTGTGGAGTCCCAGCAGATGGGACAGGGAA